TTGAGATCCTCCTGCCTCAGCCTCCTGAGCCACCAGGATTACAAGCATGTGCCACTATGCCCAGCTAGTTTAAGGTTTTATATCTATTTTGAGTTAATTTTTGTATAAGATTCAAGGTATGGCTTGAGGTGGGCCTTTTTTTGTTTTGTTTGTTTTATTCTGCATATGGCTGCTCAATCATTTTAGCACTATTTGTTGAAAAGATCTCCTTAACCTTTTAATATTGTTGTTCCCCAAGTCTGAGTCCTAGACCTGCTTCTTTTTATTCTAATGGTACTCAAAAAGGAATTCAGATTGAGAAAGGGTTTTTCCTTTTTTCTTAAAGAGGGGGAGAAGCTTTATATATAAGAAAGTGAAGATCAAGATTCCTGGGGAGGAGGGGATAGGATCTAGAACGCAGATGGAACAACAAGATCTCATTTGAATGTTAATAAATGTCCTAGGAGGAGGTGGACAGGGCAAATGTATAGTATAGTGCTTCCTTTTTTTTTTAGAAGTGGGAGTAAATCAAAAAGGTCAATACTCTTGGAGGACATACTAGAGAATAAAGGATGTTGCTGTATTATGTTCCTTTCTATAGTTTTAAAGCCTAAAAGGGTGGTGTAGAGGGGAATACTCCTAAGATGTTGGGCTTTACCTCCTTCTTCCCTACGAGAAAGGAGAGCCTGTAATTTTGAGTTGAAGAAGATACAAACTTTGAGTTGAAGAAGGTACAAAAGCATACTCATGGAGAACTGGCAACTACTGCCTAGATGATGGAATGGAACATTGGTATACATCAGATCCCAAGGTGAGCAGGAAAGGGATACAGGAAGGTAGGCAAGGAAAGAAACTAAGGCCCTCTAGGGAAAGGCAAGTGTTGATGGGCCTCACTGTTGCTAATTAGTGTTTGGTAAGTATTAAGAAGTAAGAAACATTTAGTCCTGTGTGGGCAATGAGGCTGAACTGAACCAAGCTCCAAGCTCACTAGAAGCTTGTAATAATAGGTTTTAATGTAAGCAAGGGAGTCATGTGAAATGGAAAGCAATGGGATGATACTATATGTAGAGTTTTCAGATGCTGCAGGGGTAGGATTTTGCCCTGTGAGTGAAGAACTTACACATAAGCTAGGACTGTCCCCTAGGGGTTAGCCTAGTATGTGTAAGGAGGCCCACAGAGCAAACATCAGGGTTAGAGCAGTCATCTGTCAGGTATGGTGTGGGATTAAGTTTTCACATAACACATAAGATTGCTCCATAATGGGAGAACAGGACTCAGTTCTTTATGTTCTCTGTGTCGTGTATATGAAGAAAGTGTTGAGGACTGGGGATTGAGAAGCCAGGCCTTGTGTTCAGCTGCCTGACTGTGGGAATGGAATAAAACCATGATTCTTAAGACTCCTTTCTATCTGGGAATTGCTTTGCTGAGTGGGAGAATTTGTGTAGTCAGATCAATCTCACACACAACATCCTCCTCAAGTGTGCACACATTGACCCATGCTTTTGGTTGGAGATCTTCAGAAAGAGTGTAGCATAATGTTCAAGAACCTGGACTCTTAAGCCAGACTACCTGAGTTCAAATCTTGGTTTTGTAACTTCTTAGCTCTATGACCTTAGGCAAGAAAATTAACATCTTTTGACCTCAGTTTCCTAATCAGTGAAATGAGAATAATAACAATATCTATTTTATGAGACTGTTAAAAATGATTCAGTGTGTTTTAAAAGTGCACAGAAAGTGATGAGCACAAAGTATTATACATGTGATCATTAGTAAAATAAGTGAGGTAATGTTCTAAACTCCTTGATTTTTACCAGTTTCTCTACTTGGATTCCCTAAGGAGAAGGAAGGACTTGCTAAACCATTTCACTGTTGTTATTTCTGATCAGAAAAGCCTAATATTAGAAGAAGTGGAATAGCACTGAGAATATAATGGAATATAATCTGTATCTGCCTGGAATGAGGGATTGAGAGGATGGGAAATACTGATCTGTATAGTTTTTGTGAGTTAGCATCACTCCTCCAGAGGTGTGAGTTTTTTTTTAAAGGTACTCTTACAGACAGTGTGGTTTCTGGTTTATGCAGAGTGGACTTCCATGCCTCCTTAGTTTACCTGAAGTATGGCTAGTCTGATGGCCTGTACATGGACATACCAGAGAACCTCAATTTATCTAAAATTACAGAATTTCTGGAAAATGAATAGGAAAGTTGAGGCAAAGTCTAGGAATTAATGAAGGAATGAGTACCATATAAGTGGTGAGAGGCAACCTCAGCAAGTTGCAAACAACTAAAGCCAGTGTCTACAGTGGCTATTTTGAGAACTGACTAGAGAAAATGGAGGGAGGAGGAGAAGGAGGTAGAAGCTCTAGCACCCTGCTTTTCAACAGAAGGTGTAAGGGGCATTCTGAGCATTAGGAGTTTTCTTCTCCTTACAACACACTTTTCTGTCCTCCCCAGTGGAGACCCTTGCTCTTTCATAAATTTAATGCAAATGGATCTGGGATTCCTGGAAAGCCAGATGGCAACTGAGCCACTGTTTCATTCCAGGGATAGAAATCTCAGGAGAGGCTCAGGAAGTGGGGCAGCTGGCAGGGAAAGTGGCAGGCTGGGTGGTTCAATCTTGACACTCTTGATTAAAGAATTCTCAAGGTCAGCTGATATAAGAAAATTTGAGGAAACAGCCACCTGAGAAGAGATATTTAGAATGGGAATCCAGATTTTTTTCCTTCAAAGGGGAGGGGTGGGAAGAGGGAGAAGAGTTGATGGATTAAGGCAACAGGTTTAGAGTCTAACGGATAATGGTTAAAGCAAAAATCAGAGAGACAGGGATTTTCTGATAATAGAGAAAGGAGGATTTGAAGTTAGTGATCATAGAACTATAGAACTTGCCTCTTGACCCCTGACCCTCTTGTCTGGACAATTGGCTGTTATCCTATTACTGCACATCCATCTATGTCATATTTTTTCAGTGTGGACTAAACTTTTTTAAAAATTTTTTATTCTTTCTAGTTATACATGACAATAGAATGTATTTTGATATATATCATTACATACATGGAGTATAACTTCCCATTTTTGTGGTTGTACATGATGTGGAGTCACACTGGTGAACATAGGAAATTTATGTCCCATTTTCATTCTACTGTCTTTCCTGTCCCATCCCCGTCCCCCACCCCCAGCCTGTGAACTTCCACTCCCCCCACCCCTATGCCTATTGTGATTCAGCATCCACATATCAGACAGAACATTTGGCCTTTAGTTTTTTGGATTAACCTCTTTTGGGGGGCTATAGACATCCCTTTATTTTATTTATTTATTTTTTAAATATTTATTTTTTTAGGTGTAGATGGACACAACACAATGCCTTTATTTTTATGTGGTGCTGAGGATCGAACCTGGGTCCCGCCCGTGCTTAGCGAGCGCTCTACCACTGAGCCATAATCCCAGCCCTATACAACCCTTTATTAAAATTTTGTTTTGAGACACTGAGTTGCCCAGACTGACCTTAAACTTGTGATCTTTCTACCTCATCCTCTGGAGCAGCTGGGATTACAGGTGTGTGCCACTATGCTTAGCTTACTTTTCTCTCTGAAATTTCTTCACTAAAATTTCTCTTGTCAATGTCACAGTGATCACCACAAAGAAAGACTCAGTGGTCAATCTCAGTCTTCATCTTATTTGGTTTACTGAGAATTTGGCATAGTTAAGCACTCTCTTTTTCCTGAAATATTTTCTTCACATGGTTTCCATTTTACTATAATCTCTTGGCTTCTTTCCTACCTTACTTCTTTTCAGTTCTCTTTGCTAATTTTTGTTCATTCTGCAACTCTAATCACTGGAATGCCCCAGGATTTGATCCTTTATCTTCTCTAACTAAACTTACTCCTTTGGTGATCTCATTCAGTCTCATGACTTTAAATCCATCCATATGTTAATAACTCTCTAGCTTATATCTCCAGCCCAGACTCTACATTTAAACTCATCTTGAATATACATTGCTTATAAAAACATCTCCTGGATAATTAATAGACATCTCAAACTTGTTCAAAAACAAACTGGTGATCCTCTCATTAAAACCTGTTCCTTTTTCTGGCTTCTCCATCTCAGAAAATGGCAACTCCATGTTTTTCAGTCCTCAGGCCAATATTTTGAAGTTATCCCTGACTTTTCTCTATCACAATGCCACTTAGTCAACAATTCACGTTGGTCATAAGTTGAAAATACACCCAAGACCAACTACTTGCCACCTCTATTGTCAGCATACTGATTCAAGCTACCGTCATCTCTTGCTTGGTTTTCTGCAATAACCTCCTAACAGGCATGTCTGCTTCCTCCCTCATGCCCCTTTTGTGTCAGTTGAAGGTCTCCAATGGCTTCCCATCTCACTTGTGGTAAAAGTCAAACTCCCTAAAATGACTCCCAAGGCACTACATCATCTGCTTCCAGCCCCAGTTAGCTCTGACTTCATCTCCATCTATTTCCCACCTTCCTCCTCCCTCTCTCCTCTTCAGCTACACTGGTCTCTTGCTATTTCTCAAATAGGCTAATCATGCTTCCACTCCAGCACCCTTGGAAGCTCTTGCCATTGATAAAATAAACTTTACTCCCTCATCTCCTTCAGCCCTTTGCTCAAATGCCATCTTGCAAGTGACTTTTCTTGATGACTCTATGTCAAACTGTTCTCTATTCTCCCCCAGCATTCATTATCTTTCTTCTCTGCCTTTTCCCTATAAATCTTACCACCACCCAACATCATCATTATTTATTTATTTGTTGGAGTATATTCTTAAACAAACTCCATAAGGGCAGGGTTTCTTTGTTTGTTTTGTCCTCTGTGATTTCTGTAGCACCAATAAATATTCATTTGATAAATTTTTTGATAATTTTTCTTCTGTTCTTAATCTTAAGACCTACTTCTTCCAGAGACTAAGGGAATGCAGCAGAGCTTAGGTATACCAAAGTGATCTAAAGGGATGGTACCTTAATACTTCCATGAATATCTGATATCCTGATTTTTTTTCCAGCTTAACACCAAAACATCTCCAGGAAGCAACCAGGCGTCTGGCCCAGAAGAGAAAGGTGAGTGGGGTTGGGCTAGGCCGTTTGTAGAGCTAGTGAAGGTGGGAACATGAAGACAAGTAGAGCTGCAAATCTGGAAGCACCTAAGGCCAGATGTCAATGGAATAAAAATGTGGAAAAAATGGGCCAAAGGACTATATTAGAACTACTATCATCTATAGGCTTCTTTCTACTTTTTACTAAGAAGTAAACCTATCAGTATTTCCTCTTTGATTTTGGAAACTAGGTCAGAAGTTGTTGGGGAGGCAGGAGAAATATCAGTCTCTGTCTCCAATGGAAATTGAGGAAAAACTGGGGAAAGTGAATGCATTTTGGGACTTGAACTGTAGAATTGAGGAATAAGTGATGATAGAAGACATTTGTCGTTTGGTTCAAAAACAGCAAAGCTTCAGTAACTATTGCTGACTCCCAGACTTAGTACTTTGACTCAAACTTCTTGGAGAATCATCAGGCATTCATAGTCCTAGAAAAGACTGGGGTCTACCCCAAAGAGTATAGCACAAAATGGACCTTACCCACTATATTTGGAGCTTGGAAGAAAAGGCTAGAATAAGCAGGTTAATTCATTAATGTATCTCCCAACTTTCCACAGGGAAAGCTGGCAGTGTCAAGAAGTCTGAGGAGGAGGAGGAAATTGACATTGATCTGACAGCACCAGAAACAGAGAAGGCTGCCCTCGCCATTCAGGGCAAGTTCCGACGATTCCAGAAAAGGAAAAAGGATCCCAGCTCCTGAATGGCTAGCCTAGCCCTTCACCCTGCTACCTTCTTTCCCTTTCTCTGTAGCCCTGACTCCCATGTATCTTGTCCCTCTATCCCTCTGGCCTCTCACTGAGGCAGGTTCAACCTTTAAATATTTTTTTCTCTGACCCTCTTGAGACATCACAGCAGGAGAGATACAGGGACACAGAGAAGACGAAGATTTCAATTGGCAGCCACTTGCCAAAGGGTGGATCAGTTTCTCCTTGGGCTCAGGCTCTCTCATTAATGCCTATGCTTGCCTTGTGGGGTTGGAAAACAAGAGGCTTTGAGGTAGAATGGACCCCACCCCTCAATGATATGGGAAGGAGGAAAAAAACTTCAGAGTAGGGTGTCCAAGGGTACGTGTATGCACTGTTCTGCCAGTTGTAACATTCATACTTAAAGTAACATTTCTTTCCCGTTCAGATTATTCTGCACCAACACCTCCAATCTCCCTCCTATGATCAAAGCCACAATGGGAACTTGAGCTTCCCTTTCTCTCCTGGTGGCCCTAAATCAAACAGCTTACTACATTAGTGCATGCTGAGTAGATTAGTTTCAAGGAAGGGAGACTGGGAGTGGTAGAGGCATGGAAAAGTTTCCTTCATCTTTCAGTCTAAGACCACAAAAGGCACAGGCAGAAGAGGTCCTAAGGAGCCATAGGCAGGGGAATGAGGAGGAGGGTGTATTAGAGAGGAAAGAAAAGTGAAGAAGGGGAAGTCTCTGAAGCTACAAGTTATTGTCAGTAAAAGTGTACTACCTGAAGAAATTCTCTTTCTTCCCAGTCTCTAGAAAACACTGTTTCATTCCCTGTTCTCTTGGGGCTTTGCTAACCTGCCTACCTCTAACCCCCTAACTCTAGACATCCCCAGAAGCCACAAGAGGCATGTGACCCTTGTAGTTCCCCCTTGCCCCACTGTGGAGTCAGGGCAGAAATGAAATAGCCACTCTATGTGATTTTAGCATGTTTAATAATTGTAACAACAACGATAATAAAAAGGCCTCAAGTTGGGGCCATTTAACTCTATTAGTGTTTTTGTCTTGGAGGAATGTGAACTTAAGCCTGAGCTGGACCCAGGGAGAATGGTAGAGCAACTGCATGGATTACATGGTGGTACAGAAACCAACACTGGCTGAATAGTTTTCAGGGTGAAGCCAGTCCTGCCTTCCTTCTCCTGACCTTGCCCTCACCTTGATGTGCCTCCCACATTGTGTCTGCTGCTTTCACCACCCACAGTGTGCACCTGCAGGGAGTTCATCTTCCTGTACTCCTGCCAGTCAAGAGCAAACTTGGTAATTATCACTCTGAAAACAAAACTAGTCTTCCTTGCTCCCTATCCCCAAATGACCTATCCTGCTTGTTCTTCCTCCCACATTCTCCCTTCTTCTGCCAGTGTTTATCAAACTTAAGGGAAGGTAGCAATGATTACGGTCACTAGAGAGCACCAGTGTTACACAGAAGAGTTCAAATCACAAATGAAGTAAAATGACTATACATTGAAACCAGAAATCAAATGATTAAAGATTGAGATAGGGTTTTGTTAAGTTGCCCAGGCTAGCCTGGAACTTGTGATCCTCCTGTCTCAGCCTCCTGAGCGGCTGAGATTTACAGGCATGCATCACTATGTCTAGTTCATCTCAACTATTTTTTATCTATCCAGTTCAGTGGTATTGAATACATTCACAATGTTGTACCACCTTCACTACTATCTCCATAGTACTTTTCATCTTGTAAAACTGAAACGTTTCAACAATAACTCCCTATTCTCTTTCTTACCAGTCTCTAGAAAACACTGTCTCATTCCCTGTCTCTAAGATTTCCCCTTACTTCTTAGTATTTATACTTCCCTTCTTGATTCAAGAATATAGAAGTCAAAACCAAATAGCAAGCCAGGCATGGTGGCACATGCCTGACGTACCAATGACTTGGGAAACAGAGGCAGAAAGATTGCAAGTTTCAGGTCAGCTTAAACAACTTAGACCCGGTCTCAAAATAAATAAAAAGGTCTGGGGATGTAGGTCCGTGGTAGAGCACCCTGGGGTTTAATCCCCAGAACTGCAGAACAACAACAACATATAGCAGGTATGAATAAGAAACAAAGGACAATATCACTGGAATGCAAACTTTACCCCAAAGTATATCCATGCCTACCAGGCATATGGCATTTTAGGAGAATTAAAGAGTGATTCATGGGAAGGCCATATGTAAAAGGCGGTACCTCCCTCCTCCTGATGCTAGAGAAAAGGAAGTTTTACTGTTATATTTGGACTATGTTCTGAGGGCAGTATAGTAATGATAGTGGCCTTTAGTTCCAGCCTCTTAGGCAAATACGAGAATAACTTTATTGCTACACCTTGTGTATTCCAGCATATTCTAGTAAAATAGGAGTATTTCCTGTTCCCTTATCCCATGGATGAGATGAGAATTGACTGGTGCTGTACTTTAGTCTTTGCCTATGGTCAGACTAAATTGCTCCTTCTTCTTAGAGCCTTGGGCTCTTGAGAGTTGGCTGTTGCTAAGGCAAGGATGGAGTTCTCTGTCACCAGCCCCTTTCTATAGTATCTTCTGCTTGCGGGATCTCCACTAATTTGTTCCTTGCCACACTGATCTGGAGCATATTGCTGAATGATTTTTCCCCTCACCATCTCTTACTCCAAAAAGGTTATGTTTATCCTCATGCATATTTTTAAATTAAGTCCTTAGTAATAAACACATAGTCATTACTTTGGGAAGGATAATTTTGACCAAAAGAGAGCCTTGGGCATTGTTATGGTTTGGATATGAGGTGTCCTCCAAAAGCTCCCATTTTAATGCAGGAATATTCAGAGGTGAATGACTGAGTCAAGAGAGCTGTAACCTAATCAGTCCATCCTAGTTTGAATGAACTAACTGGGTGGTAACCATAGTATGAGGAGCATGACTGGAGGAGGTGGGTCACTGGGGACGTACCCTGAAAGATGCATCTTCCCTGCGGCCCTTTCTCCTTCCACTCTCTGTCTCCCTGTTTCCTGGCCACCATAACACAAGCAGTGCCCTTTTGCCATGATATCCTGCCTCACCTTGGGCCCAGAGCAAGGGAAGAAGCCTACCATGGACTACACTTTTAAAACCAGGAATCTAAGTAAACTTTTCCTCCTCAAAATTGTTCTTGTTTGTTATTTTGGTCACAGAGATGAAAAAATAACTTACACAGGTATCTTTACCAAACTAATGGTAGATCTCAATAACAGTTCTAAAAGCTGATTTCTCCCTGCCAGGCTGCGTGTTCCTACCATGGATATTCAAATTGAGCCTCTTCTCTGAGCTATGTCCTCAGCCACTGGGATCTCATTCCTGGGGCTCTAGATTCCTGTTTCTCTTCCCTCTAGTATGTACAGCTAAAGAAATGATCCTTGGGTACTAATCACTGAAGGATTTTTCTTGAGTAGTTTATTTTGTGGAATAAAAATGACAAGTCTTTGTGGAATTGTTGATTTCTGTTATAAATGGCTTAGCAGATAAGACATGAAGGGGGGGGGGGGAAGAAAATGAAAAGTAGAGTCAACACTTCTGACACCAAATGTGTGTTGCCAATTGTAAGTCCCAGGCTGTGACCTGTACTTCCAACTAATCAGCTATAAATCAGGGGGTCACAGGACCCCTTGCTCCTGTTGGATAATTTGCTAGAATGGCTCACATTACTCAGGAAAATGTGTTACCTACTTTTACTGATTTATTATAGGAGATAAAAAAAAGTCAAATGGAAGAAATACATAGGACAAGGTGTAGGGAGGATGATACGTGAAGCTTTTTATGTCATCTCTGGGGACACCACACTCTCAGAACATAAGTATGTTCACCAACTTGGAAGCTATCTGAAACCTGAAGTTTATTTTTTACAATTTTTATAAAGGCTTCATTATATAAACATGATTGATTAAGTCACTGGTCATTAGTGATTTGATTTAATCAATCTCTAGCCCTTCTCCCTCTGGAGATGGGAGAGGGATTGGAAGTTCAATTTTCTAATCATAAGATTGGTTTTTCTAGCAGTAAGCCTTCCACCCTTCAAGAGTCACCTCACTAGCATATATGTAGTATGGTCAAGAGGGGTTTATCATGAATAACAGTCATCACTCAAGAAATTCCAAGGGCTTTAGGAGCTCTGTGCCAGAACCTGAGGATGAAGACCAAATATATGTATTTCTTAGTCTATCCTAGTATCACATCCAAATAACTGATTACTCTTCTGGTGTATTTTCAACTGTACAGTATAACAGAACTATAGTCCTGACAAAGGCAGAGAAAGTCTGTAGGTCTAAGTAAGTGATATATTTTTAAATATGTTTCTAAAACCCAAACTTGGAGATGAAGGTTCTGGGTGGAAAATTCAGGTAGTGAAAGGGACAAGGATTCTGCTTCCTAGACAACCTTTCACATCCTACTTTCAGAGACTTGATATTGCTGAATGGAACTCTTGACCTCACCTTCATCTGGCCACAATGTAGAGTCAGCTTCTTCCACTTCTGTCTTTTCTTTTCCTCTTACAATGAAATCCTGCCTTAATATCCTTTTTTTGGGAGTTTCCAGTTGCCCCTTCCTGTCCACCTCTTTGCCTCTCTCTCTCCACTCTTCTTCTTGCCCTTGATGAGTTTCTGAAATTGTTGCAGTTGGAAGCAGTTTCTGGCAGCATCTCTGCTCCTGTTATCCTCAGTCTCTGCGAACCAACTCTGACTGGAAATTGGAATCACTTTCCAGTGAGCTGTTGTCTTCCTGTTCTTTTTTTTTTCCCCCCATACTGGAGACTAAACCCAGGACCTCACACATGCTGAGCAAGCACTTTGCCACTGAGTTATACCCACAAGCCCCTCTTCCTGTCCTTAATCATCTCCCCAACTGGTCCCTCTGCTGTCTGTGCCTCTGAAAACTGAGGGGTTGTGAAGGGTGGTTAGGAAGTTTGCTTCCCCCCTCCCGCCCCCTCCAGTACTGGGGATTGAATCTAGGGGTGCTGTGCCACTGAACTATAGACTCAGCCCTTTTGATTTTGAGACAGGGACTTGCTAAATTGCTGAGACTATACTCAAACTTGTGGTCCTTTTGCCTTAGGTTCTGAAGCAGCTGGGATTATAGGTGTGTGCCATCATGGATAACATAAAAGAACTTTATTTGGTATTTATTTGGGTTACAATTAGGAAACAAATTCAGATACCACGGAGTGAATGTTCCAAAGGAGGCAAGAAAAAAGGAAACTTATGTAGACAAGTAGTACTAATTTATTGCAAAGCAGTAAAAATTCCTTTGAAGAAAATTTCTATTAAGTTGAGAAAGAACAGGGTTTAAGTGGCAGGGGCTATGAGACTAATCAGATAAAGAAAAGAATATATAAATGTATTTAAAATGTCTGTAAAACAACAATCTTATTATCGCTTGACATACATATTGAGTCTCTGGTCACAGTGTAATTATCTGGTCATTCCAGCTGCCTGCAATTAAGGGGTCAAAGTGCCCAAAAGTTCACATTCCCAGGCAACTACTTGTTCACATAGTGCCTTTCAATTCCCTTACTGGGGATTGAGCACAGGGGCACTTAACCACTAGACTACATCCCCAGCCCTTTTTCTTTTTTATTTTGAGACAGGGTCTCCCTAAATTACTTAGGGCCTTGATGAATTGCTGAGGCTGGCTTTGAATTTGTGTTTCTCCTGCTTCAGCCTCCCAAGCCGCTGGAATTATAGGTGTGTGCCACCACCTCTGACTTTTTTTTTTTTTTTTTTATAATGGGGATTGAATCCAATTCTATCACTGAACTATACCTTCTTCAGCTTTTTTTCTTTTTTCTTTTGAGACAGGGTCTAATAAGTTGCTAAGGCTGACCTTGAATTTGTGATCCGCCTGCCTCACCCTCCTGAGTAAGTGCCATTACAGGCCTGCGCCACCATGCCTGGTTTCTGATTCCATTTTAAAAAGCTTTCTCAGTATTTCTTTTATCAAAATTTTCC